GAAGAAAGACAACGAGATAGTGAGAAGATGGCCTATCAACATCGAATTAAGTCTTTGCCAGTAGGATATAATACTGTATTAAAAGAAAGACAACGAGTTAGTGAGAAGATGGCCTATCAACATCAAATTAAGTCTTTGCCAATAGGAATTAATACTGTATTGAAATATCTACGTCGAGATAATGAGAAGATGGCCTTTTAACATCAGAGTCTTTTGCCAATAGGGATCAATACCGTATTGAATGAAAGGCATAGAGATTTAGAATATGGCTCAATCTATGCATTAAGAAAATGGTTATAAAAAACATTCTTTTCTTGTTCAATGTATATAAAATTATCATATAACGTGAAGTTAATTTAAAAATGAATAAAAAATTATAATTTCATGAACAAGACTGAAATTTATTTTATTTTATTTCCTCCATAAAAATTATCCATGCTTGTCAAAATGATTGTTTCGAAACAGTCCATTATTGAATTCGAAGTATTTGACAATAAACGGCGGAATGATTTATAAAACTAAACGCAATATATTTTTTTTACATTTTCTTTAAATTTGAGAAATTTTATTGAAATTTTACTTGCTCGACCATGAAACTCTTTAGGAAAGATTTAACTGCCCGGTATCAAAGATAAATAAATCAAGTGATAGATTGAACTAACTCACTTGAAAGATTTTATGCCAGAAGAGGCTCGGTTTCACGATATGTCAAACAGATGGGTGGTTATGAATAATTTATGGAGCATATGGTTGAGTAAAGATAGAAATATATGCTTTTGGCAAAGTTTTTCGACTATTTTATATTTGTATTTGGCAACACTTTTACACGGAGGAAATCCACTAAAAATGCTTACTTTTATGATATGGATAAGAAACATTATCTGTGAGTGAAAATCAACTTTAGTAATTTTGATAGCAAAGCTAAAATGCAATAGATAAATTTCCTTTTATTTATTCGGAGCATCTATTTTTATAATATTTTTATGATAGTACAGTCCAAGCTATGTATCTGATATTGCATTATATAATCTATAGATGAATTTATCTATATATTGCCCACTAGTCAGTTATCTTTCATTTTTTTAGGTTGTCTTAAGCATACCTGCCAACTCTCCCGCATTTTGCGGGAGATTTTATTTTCATATTTAAAGTGGTAGTAAATATATACTATTTTTTCTTTTATAAATTTAATTTTTAAATGATTTTGATCACCACTATTCTTACAAAAATTAGGCTTATATATTAATATGCGTTACTATCATGGTTGTCAACTTAATTGTTTTCAAATACAACGTATTTGTTTGTTTAAAGTTGAAGTTTTAATTCCATTTTAATACCACTGGGAAAAATGATAATGGAAGGGATTAAAAGTTGGCAGGTCTTAAGTAATAATATAAGTAGTGCTAAAAATTATGTACATGTTAATTGTTAATTTAGATTCATTTTGTGAGGTTGTCTTAAATAATAAGTTAAGTATTTATTTGAGTAATTTTGCATTTTTATTGAAATGAAAATTTAGTTACAAAATGATAAAGATTTACTTTTGATTCTTTTCTTAAAATGGATATTGAAAATTTAAACATAAACGGTGCTATGGTGCATCATACTGCCATACTAATTATTGGTGATGGAGCTTTCCTTTTTTGAGCATTAACATATATGACGTTGGAGTTATGGAGTTCTCAAATATATATGATAAATTTTTCTCAATTACTTTTAAAATAGAATATAGGCTCATGCGCACAATTGGTTCACTTTTTAAACAGTCTGCGCAGAATACTTCCGTGTGGAAGCTTTCTGATGTTGGAGGTGATGACCAAGCTGAATGCCAAAGATAATATTATGGGGAGTTAAAATTGTTTTTTTTTTGTTTTTCAAGCTCTACTGAATATACTAATTTACTTAGAAAATAACTGAATATACTAATTTATTTTTTTCAAAGAAAGAAAACGTAGTTAAATTAATTTTTTTTAAAAAAGAAAAGTTAAAAGTTGCTTTTTCTTTAAATGAAATGAAAAAAGTATCGTTAAAACTGTTTATTAATTTCTTCATTCTTCTAATATCTAAGAGTAGTAATACTTTATAAATTATGTATAAAACGAACTTTCCAAGTTCGATTAAGAGCAATTTGCATATTACACCAATGCAAACACGATAATATAATTCGTATATTACGAATGTTACATTAATATTTGAAAAATGTTAGATTAATTTTTGAAAAATGCCACGTGTATTACACTAATAGCAGCAAAATACTTCCCATAATTGCAAAAATGATATTCTGGAATTTTATTTTTGCATGCTGAAAATAATTTTAATGAAATATCTTAACACCTGTAAAGAATATCTCCTGTTTCATTGCTAAATAAACATTATTTCTTAATAATGAAAGTTATTTAGTCCAGACAATATACTGAAATATAAACTAGAACAAGGAATTGAGAAATTATACTTAGTGTTTACAAAGAGTGGAGTTTAAAATGTTTTAGTTTTCAAAACCAAATAAGGAAGTAATGCATAAGACTTCATCTATTGGGGAAAAAAAGGTGTAAGGAAAAACAGTGATAGTTAGTTTTTGGTTAAAATAGTAAATATATTTTTATACTACTGACAGTTTCAGCTATAAAATGGCACGGATTTCAAACGTAATCTAAATAAGCATTTTTTATTATTAAAGTCGCGTTAATCACGCGTATGAAGGAGTCATTAAAACTTTATAAAGTTTCCAACGTGGAAAATTTAAATTGGAGATCAAAAAACTGATAACAGCAAAGCAAGTTCATATATAATTAATTATAAAATATTCAAATATACTACCGTATTTGTTTTATTTCAAAGATTGTACGAACCCTGATGTTGTAGGAATGGGAAACGAATCAAATAAAACCGTACTATGCATACTTAAGACTAATTTTCCCATCACTTTAGTTCCATTTGCAGTTTATAGCTTTAAATTTGTTATTTAATTACTTGGTTCATATTTGGTTACTAATAATAATGATAACTAAACATTCAAATGAATTTTATCAAATAAGCTAAATGAACTTTTTGTTTATTTAAAATACCAAAATATGAGCCGAGGTAACTCAGAGGATAGAGCGTTCCCCTTCTAATCAGGTGAACCGAGTTCAAATCCCAGCGATGGCTGGTCGATTCCATTCCCGACTCTCACAAGCAAAATATCCTCAGTAGTTGACGGATCATGGGTTAAAGTCCCCCTGTCATCAGGCTAACTGTGGGAGGTTCTCGTGGTCTTCCTTTCCATGTAACGCAAATGCGGGTTGGTTTAATCAAACAGTCCTCCTCGAAGGAAAATGTCTTCCAATACTTGATCCAAGAGTTCCCTTGTCTTTTGAGTAGGTTCAAAATTACAAGGCTACGGAGTTGAACATTAGTAGTCGCAAACCCAAAAAATTAGGTAGGCTGGTCAAAGACGGTTATATATATATATATATATATATATTATATATAAGTTTAAAATGAAGAATAAAACAAAGAAAAATTATAGACATATGAAAAAAAAGGGGGGGAAATAATAAGTAAANTATATAATTATTATTTGTTTGGCAGAAACAATTTAAGACGTATGTCAAAAACACAACCGAATATCGAATCGCCCTCGGTTATGTCGCGAGATTTCTTTTTGTAATTTAAGTGATTAATATAAATGTTCACGTTAACAATTTTAATTTGATTTGACAAAATTCATTTTAAAAATTTCTCTCTCTCTCTATATATATATGTATATATAATAAATTTATGTATTGATATTCAAGTAGTTTAACCCTTTTATACCAGCGTCCTTTTTAAACGGCTGTACATTCTTCTTTTTTTTTAAAGAAAGAAAAAAAAGGTGGCACAAGTACTTGATTATTTGGGAAATATTTTGAAAAAACAAAATAAATATTTCTACTCGTATGTTAACAATAGAAATTTGTATGTCTGGATCTAAAATCAACAGAGAGCGCTTTTTTAATGGTAATAACTGGAGAAAAAAATATTCACTTGGTATAAAAAAACATGCAATGCCACTTTTTTTTCACAGATTTGTTTTGTATACATAGACCACTTTTAGATCCTGTCCATTTTATCATTTAATTATGTTATTTTATCTAATTTTTTACACTTGCGTAATTTCTGCAACCCTCATTCTTCTCTTATTGTTAAACCAGTTTCAATGAATGAGCAGATAGCCCTACAGGATAGTTACTCATTAAAATTATGCTTAAATCGGTAAAATCCTGTCCATCCATGGGCAAATCAGGTGTCAAAGCCCCCAATTAAAATTACAATAGTATGAGAGTTTTGTCTTTATTCGTTTATTCTTGAATGAAATGATATATTAACCTATCTTTACAATGTTAGAAATAATATTTAGTTATAAAAGTTGTGTTGTTATTTTTAATTTTAAAGTGAAAGTCGGAACCTCAGTATTTTGTTTGCTTATATTTAAATTAATAATTTTGGATGTGATGGGTACTTCACCATTTCCAAAAGCTAGCAGGAATGAATTAGATTATTGTACTGTTTTATCCACCACTATTTCTAAAAAATTCGTAGGCCTACATAATTCACCACTTTATAGTACTTAACTCTATAGTACTTAACTCATGTTATACCTTCTAAAAAGTAAGTAAAAATAGTCAAATATTTGCAAAATTTACTTAGTAGTTATTTACCGATTTTTTAACTGTGTTGGCTTGTCCGGAGCAGTTGGCATCTCTGAATATAGCCTTTTTCCGTGGAACAAAAGCGCAGTATATCAAAATTGTCCACCAGAAGAAAAGACAATGTTCTAAAGTGTGTTTTTCTACATAAGAAAAAATTGATTTTGTTTTGCCGGGTTTTTTTTCCAAAAAGTCTGTGCGTTAGGGGCTAAAGTATTTTGTAGAATCTGGATCAGTTGGCATCTCTGAGACTTAAGAAAAAAAAAGTTTTATTTTTTTTAAAGCTTTTGGTTACAGTATAAACAATTTTTTTTTATTTCTCTTTGAAAATAGGCCGAATATGACAACGTGGGAAAGGTTCCACTTACAAATATCAAGATATAGCCTGTATCCAGAAGATTCCCCTGTAGTGAAAGATCTTTTGCATGAAATGGCATCAGAGAGAATTGTTAATTTAGGTAAGACTTTTTATTCATTTTCAAAATTGTTTAATAATATAGTGTTTTCCTTTTCATTAGTACGATTTATTAGCAGATTTATTTCTTTATGCGTGACAATTCATGAGGCTGATTTCTATATTCATTAGAGAGATTTCGCACTTTTACGTAAGCTTCCGTTCGCCCTCCTACGTAAGATCTGCGCATTAATTTTAGATATCTAAAATAACGTAAAGATACGTAGCATATGCTACGTATCTTTACGTTATGTTGGCGGGATTAACGCTACAAAGACGAAGCTTCAACCACGCTGTTTTTAACTGTTAAATGATATTTTCTGTTTGAGCCTACTCTCGAACTAAAAACATGGGCATGGAATGAGAATTCGAAGAAATTTATAAATGAAATTTAGAAATGAATCACATTTGATTTAAAAACCATTGGATCATTCAATAAAAACATAATGGTTGTTCCATAAGAAAATAGATATATTTTCGCTATTTCAAAATCATATTTATTTTAACTATGCAATTTAGTTAAAATCAGTTAAATAATCAATAGAAGTTCAATAATATTTTTTAAATATTAATAATAATAATAAGCTGCATACTATCGCTGAATTCATCAAAATCTACGATATACCAAATTTTTCTGCTCACAGATGTGCAGTTTTACGCAGAACAAAGAATCTTGAATCGTATGCCACATGTTTAATGAAAGAGTCTTCATCCATTGTAAATGTTTGTTTTGATTTTGTGTTCAAAGTTAAAATGATATTCCAGTAACATATTGTAGCTCTTTGTTGTTTAAAGAATAGTGGTTGTTAAACGTTTAAAAACGGTTGTTAAACGTTTTACTTTTTAGTGGTTTGTAACATTTGTTTTATTAGTGTTGCCAGTCTGGCTTCCCTGCACCGGGGAGTGTTAATCTCCCTTATAAAACAATGATAACATCATCGGTTTGTATATATTTTTTCAAAAACAGGTATGGCAACAGCTCAACCTTCAAAAGTATTTATAAAGTGGTACAATTCGAAAACTGAAACTTCCAGAAATAGATTTACTTTTTTCAGCACATTCAAAGGCTCCCCACGATATAACTAAATAAAAGTGGCGTTTTATACGAAGTTTTGAGTTATATAGACATAGGGATGTCCGGAATAATTAATAGTATTATCTAAACCGAGGCTCATTCATAAAAACAAAAATTTCGCTCTCGCTCCAAAACATATTCCTCAAAGCGGAGCAAGTTATCATATCAGTGTAAATTAAAGAGTGAACTTTTTGAAGAGTCAAATTTTTTTTTCATCACTGAATTCCAAGTCGACAAGGCTAATTATCTGGGCATCATTATAAATTGCTCACTAAACTAGAATTTACATGTATCAAACATCCTGAGAAAAGCAGAAGCAGCTTATCAAACCCTTAAACCAATCCTAAACAAAGACAGCAAATTGGCTTTACACACCAAAAGGCATATATATCTGATGTGTATCAGACCGATACTCTGCTATGCATCCCCGGCCTAGGGGGGCTCTCTCAAACGCCCAACAAAAAAGACTGAGGACATTTGAACATAAAGTTATCAGAAGAATCACAGGGGCTCCCTGGTTTGTTCGTAATAACACACTTTGCAACGATTTTAATATAGATAAAATCGATGAATACTTATACAAACTCAACGATACCTTTTTTAAAGGAGCAAAAAATTGCTCTACGTGTGATTTTAACAAACTATTAGATATTGATTTTATTGAAACTTCAGCCCGATAATCGCTTTTTTCCTGAGCGACTACGTTCTATCTAGGCATTTCAGTTAATCTTTCTGGACAAACTCTGCACTCTACACCAATGAAGCCCGGCTACCGGGGGAGGCGAGGGAGTCTTCCCCATTTGTAAATTTTGTAAATATTTTATTGTTTTTATTATCTTATGTACTATTTGCGACTTATATTATATTTAAACCAGATTTGATTTCCCAATTGTATATGCGATTTAACAAATATTAAGTACCGCACCTCCCTTCCCTTCCTTTTACCTAAACTCGATGAAGGAGCAGATATCCATCTAGGATAGCCACTCCGAAAATACTTGAATAGTTAATTAGTACAGTTATCTTACGTACTGCCTTTTTACTGTCTGGCACCAGCCAGTCAAATAACTTACTCAAAAAACAACTACTTCATATTGTTATTCCGAATTTTATAACCGTGTTATTTTCGTTCGTAACTTCGGCGGGGAGTAACCCTTTACTGAAGCTGCTGACAGTCGCGAGGGAGGAGGGTCCCCCCCGTTAGATCCCTTAAGTCACTGTTTAGACTTGCCTCAATTATCATGCATCGCCCGTCATAAACGTTTTAGTATTAGCCTCGATCTTGTATAGATTTTCACGTTGTTTATCTCACTCTTTTGAGTATAGCTCTCACGTTACCTTGTACATAGCCCGTTTTTCGTGTCTTTTTATGATTTTACCGGATTTCTTTTAATTGTTTTTTTCATGTGTAAATTTTCAAAAATTAATTTTTAATGAATTAAAAATTTATTTACTAATTTTTAATTAATTAATAAATAAATTAATTATAATATAAATAAATTAATTTTTAAATTAATTGATTGCATAATTAATTATTTTTTTATTTTTTATTAATTTATTTTATGTACTTTTAAGTTAAGAGTACTTTCTTTTTTAGTCTCTGGATGTTTCTTTACTTATAGTTACAACTGAAATATACATTGTGTAAATCTTTTTCTCTTTATAATTTAGAGCAACTACCTGGGGGAACGCAGTTAAAACTAGTCTTTACGTATGAAAGCGGAGCTAAAGCACTTTTCAAGCCAATGAGGTGAGTATCAGATTTTTTTTTTATTCATCTCAATCAAAGTTATTTTCTTCTGAAAAAAAATAGGATTCATTTAGTCTAATTAAAGTGTATTTTTCACTATCAGGAAGTATTTTTAAATTGAAGTAGATGAATCCCGATGTTAAAAATTAATTTCTAAATTATAATTTTTTTAAAATCTAAGGGAATTTAAAAAATAAAGTAGCAAATTTTGGTCGGCCTCATGAAAATTCTTTCTATGTGTATAAGTTTTTTTCCTGACCATAGATTTGTTATATTATTGAAATAAATTATAGTTTGGAATGATATTTTTTTAATTATTAAGGAATTACTTATTTTTACTTTGTCAACGTTTTTAAAGCCTTTCCACAATAGCGTGGGTGAAAGCCCTTATATAGCAAGAAGGAAAAGAGAAAAACCTGGTACGTAAAACATTTCATTCCAGCATTTTTTTCGAAAAAAATGAAATATCTGTAACTATCAAGATTTCTTTTATAATTCTGGCATATATATAAAACTGCTTCTTTTCCAAGATAAAGTAGATATTGTTGAAAAATTTAAAAAAAGAATAAGTAAACTCCTCCCCAAAACTAGTTATAACTGAAATGGTTTTACTACCAGGCTTTCCTCTTTTCCGTCTCGCTTTCACCCCTGCACAAAAGGTGTGTTGCTGAGTAACGTTTTCATTTACATGTAGAGGTGGGGAAAATAAATTTAAACTGAATTTACAAAACATTAAAGGACAGACTTTACTACCATTAGAAGAAATTTCCCAAAAAGGGCTGGTAGTTGGCAACCCTGCACGTGGGAAAGTCGTTTCTAAAAACGTTACAAGTCGGCAGCTATGGGTTAAGTTATATAAATTCCACCCATATCTGCCATTAATTTTTGAAGGTGAATTGAAAAGCTGAGTAAGAACATAAAATTGGTTAGCAATTTTGCATTCGAGGTTTTTAGCTATTAATTGTTTTTTAAATTCTTTATGTAGTGGTAGTTCAAATAATTTCAAATCGAAATTTTTTTTTTTTTTTTTTTTTTTTTTTTTTTTTTTTAATAACGGCAGGCACTTGAACTCTCGTTCTTCGCCTCGGAAGATGCCGGAAGTGTTGCTCATTTAACGTTACCCAGTGGGCACCTGTGAACCTAAGTCACGGAGGCGAGCAACATTACCCACGCCACACTGCCACAAACCCGTTCATAGGGTGGGCCACATTCGCACATCACACACAGCAGAGGACAGAGAGAAACATCCATGCCCAGAGCGGGATTCGAACCCGCAGCCATTGGCTTCACAGTCAGGCACGCTAACCGCTCGGCCAACTGGCCGGCTAAATCGAAATTTCTAAACTTAGAATAATATTTTAAAGTTCAAAATTGTATATCAATATAAATATTGCTCTTAAAAATTGTAAAAAATTGGTTGGTATGTGTCAAAGCAGGCATACCAACTGCTCCGCTATCTGTAAAATATTTAATACATTGGTAACGTGGCGAAATAAATAGTAAACTTGTAGGATACGGTTACTTACACTTTATTTTTAGAAGTGTCACCACGAATAATAAAGTTGCAAATTTTATGATACTTTGAATGTTCGATATTTAGTGGTGGTTAAAGTTACTTACAAATGCAAAATGCTGAACTGCGAATGCAAATGCAAAAACTTTCATTTCGTTACCGTTAGAAAATATTTTTTTACAAACTGGTGCAAGGTGGCATCTCTGTTAAAGTATAGTACAATAAAATATATTTTTAGAAATCTTATTTATCCAAAGCAAATATAAATAAGAATTTTGTATGCTATTCCATACATATTTAAATTGAGAATGACTTTATTTCATTAAAAAATATTTTTCTTTTCGTCTACATTTGAATCAAATGTAACACTTATATATGAAATACATGAGTTATTCACCATAATATTCGCAGAATCTATACCAAACCTCAGAGTAATTCCTCCAAACTTTTATGAAAATTGGAGAGCTTTGTAGTTCCTGAACAAATACGATTTTATATGGTTATGATGCAATTCTAAAAGTTAGTGAGTTGCTTTGAAATGTTATTATTACCCATTTCAGTTGAACTAAATTGTAACTTTTTCGGTATTGTAAGGAAATCGCAATAAAGATGGAACATAAAGTTATTGATTTGTAGGATAACGTTTGTAGCATAAAATGTTTATTATGTTTCATAAAAGATTTAATGTAGGGTTTATTATTCATTTTATATTTTATTCTTCCATTATATCATTCTTTTTTATTTAAAAAAAAGTATATGTTGGAAACATATATTTTAACTATTCTAATAAACATATTTTTTTATACTTTATAATTATTGCAAGTAAAATATATTTTTATACACTCCGTGAAGAAATTATTCCAGAAAGAATTTTTTTTAAGCTAATTTCTTTATAATTATACCTTTTAACGAAACGAATTCAATCTGAATATTAATGCTAAAGTTGAAGCATGAAAATAAATATTGAAAAACCACAAAAAGGTTTAAAAAGTTGGAAGAAAATTGGAATGAGCGGGTTTATAGACTTCAGGGGGCATTGCGAAAATAATATTTAATTGTTAAGGATATAGTTTAAATAGTAAAGTTTTAAGTTTTTTTAGGAAAAAGTTTATGCAAAAATATAACAGTAAAATACAAATTACTTAAATAAAGTATACCACGATGCTTTTAAGCACATAAATTAATCTAATTTCTCATTGCTGAATATCAGTATTACATACCTGCCAACTCTTCCGGATTTTCCGGAAGATTTTATTTTCATATTTAAAGTGGTAGTAATTATATACTATTTTTTCTTTTATAATATTAATTTTTAAATGATATTGATCGCCACTATTCTTACAAAAATTAAGCACATATACTAATATGCGTTACTATCATGGTTGTCAACTTAAGTTTTCTCAAATACAACGTATTTGTTTGCTTAAAATTGAAGTTTTAATTCCATTTTAATACCACTGGGAAAAATGATAATTTAAGGGATTAAAAGTTGGCAGGTATGGTATTAGTTTGGTTTCTTAACGTCGTAGTTTTTTAAAATTTACAATTAACACTTAAATTTAACTTTAACTTAACTTAGCTTTCAGTTTCCACATGACGTAATAAAATGTTCGAAAAGATCTAATATATATTTTAATATATAATTGAAATTAAAACAATGAACAATTTAAACAAACTAGTTATACTCAAACTAGTATTACTCAAAATGGCGCTTACTGTATTTTAGCAACTGAAGTAATTTTAATTTAAAATTTCATAGCAATATTGAAATTTATCTATTTGCAGGATATATTATACTCTCTCACCACAATTATTTAAAAGTTGTGTCACAAGTACGACTATCAGACTAAAGCAAAAAACAACGTGAATAAAGCATAAATGAGGTTATATAAATGGACAAATGTGTGCTTTATTCACGTTGTTATTACGGATTGATCACGATTGGATCACGTTGTTATTGCGTTAGATTACGTCACATTGAATCACTGAAGCAAAAACAAAGCACAAAAGAAAATACATCAATGGACAAAGGTGTGCTTTATTCATGTTGTTATTTGCTTTATACAACATATCACAAGTATACCCTATCCTTTGATGGACAATTATCAGAGTCATTTCAATTTTCAATATTTTGGAAAGTCTGCGATAAATGATTTCGGGCAATTATCGCAACGCTTCTGATTTCTGCTTGTTTGCTTACCAGCTCAATCTTATACCATTTTTCCCAACCCTTTAAAATAAATAAGGTATTTGTGAGGTTGTTTTAATGTTTAAAGGTATAAAAAAATACACCTAAGGCAGAAAATGAGGTATTGTTTTGCACCACAATTAATCTCATCAACAAACCTCAATTTCAACCTCATTTACATCTCATAAAATCAACCTCATGTATAGAGCAGCAATATTTTTGGTTGAAGTCGATGAAATTATTCACACCCCAAACGTATATTTATTTTTTTAAGGTATAGAAAAAATAACCAGTAGATCTCAAAACAATTTCCCAAAGTTAGTGACTCTGAGATAGATTTTTATTAACCTCAAAATAACCTCAAGTGTGAATAAAACAACGTCATATAACTTGATTATAAACCTCATGAGATTCATTTTTTAAGATTGTTTTTGAAATCATCTTCAAATAAACCTCTAATTACCCTTAACACTTCAAAACAACCTTAAGTAAACATCAAAAACACCTTAACTTTTTGCAAGGGTAACTATAAAATAGTTAACTTAGGAAAACCATTACAGTAAACGTATATTTATATAATAAATATTTGAAAATAATGTAGAATTATCCATTAATGTTAAAATAATACATTTTTCAAGATTGCTTCAATGCCGGATAACGTAGAGGAACAAATTTTTTTGTTGTATTTACGCAAGTATTTGATCTTACCAAATTAGGGTATGGGCTATAACTTACACTAAAAGCTTTATTTATACTAACTGTTAACAGACTTGCCAAATACTTGCGATATGACAAAATATTTTTAACCCTTTAATGGGCCATTTATTTCTAGTAAGTGTATGTTAAAATACAGTTTGAATTTAGATGAAAAAATTTATTTAGATTAGTTGATAAAATTAATTTGAATTTTAACAACATTTATTTTGTGGTAAGTGTGCTTAGGTATGTTGCCCAATAGGTGTTATAAAAAAAGTAAGAGACTTAATTACTTTCATTTGTAAAATAAATTTTATATTTACTCCAAACTGAAAAAGGAATTATATATTATAACTTACCTTAAATTTCCTAAAAACAGGCATATTGTTACCAATTTTATTCAATATTACTTCATCAGAGCTGAAGTTAATAACAAATGGTATACCAAAGTTATAGCGGTGGTAAACATAATTACCACGGCCTTAGAATGGGTTAAAAACGGTAGAGAACTACATACTAAAATTTACTGAGTATGATAAATATTGTTAACTTTTTTAAAGGCTTTACTCAACTTAATTGTTCGATGGTGGCATATTAACTAAC